CTGGGCCGACCCGACCCGACCCGACCCGACCCTGGGGCTGTGAGTAGTCCCTGGGGCTGCTCAATATGGTGATATCCAGAGCTTGTATATCTCTCTATATGTCCCTCTATATAGGGATATAGGTGTCGTGTCACACAGGGGCGTCCTCTTGATGCGTTTGACTTTGATGCTGCCCTGTGTCACCTGCTTCCTTTCCACGCTGCTCGTGCCATTTTGCCAAGATAACTTTATTTATAGCATGTAGAGATAGCCATGGAACAAGAAACTAAAAATGCGTCGCTAGGGAGTGGGGAGATTTGGAAGAAAACCCCAAAACCATCAGGGCAAGGCTGCACTTTCAGTTCTTTCACCTGGAGCCTGCAAACACGTTTCTCCCCACCTGAGCAGCCCTGGTTCTCGTTTGTGGGGGTGTCGTGTGTCACAGCGGACAACAGGCAGTGTAGTCTGGAGTGGAAGCAAACTCAATGGGAGAGAAGGAACTGTAATCTAATGTTCTCATTTTTTTCTTTAAATAGGACTATTTGTCTGGCATCTGAAGAAGACTGGAATACGGCAGGTACCATGCCAGTTCGTGCATCTATGCCACGTAGCCAATGACAGATTGATTACATTTCAGTACTTTAACTTTCTCAAACGAATGGTAAGTCAGGGAGTGCATTTATCCCACATTTTTCATTCTTTAATTTGTTTTGTCCCATGTGATGAGTCCAAATGGAAAGCAGTTGATAAAAATAATATTTTTCATATCTACCAAGCTCAGGCAATTCCAAGCATCTCCTTTTCGGCATTGTATCAGAGTAAAGCACTTGGGATCTAAAACATTTGAGGCTGGAGGAAACTCACTGTGTCAAGGACAGTGCCTTCTGCCGCAGCGAGTCGTCTACCTGATGGGGGGCTTTCCTTTCAGTGCCTTTGAAGTGGAGCGCTTGTCTCATGTTGAGAAATGTGAAATGAAATTATTTTCAGTGTTATTATTTGTTAAAATGTCAGTAAGCAAATGAAATCTTGGCTAGCTTTCATACAAGTGATAGATAGAACTCACTTGTGGAGGTAGTGTGTTCTGACTGAAGAATTAATGAGTTAATTTGAATCAAAACTTCTGAGCTCGTTAACTTAATGGGTTGCATTCTGTAGCATGCTGTTAGTTTGGGGTATTAAAAGAGCCGCAGTTATCATTCAAACTCTTGAAATTTTATCTTCCTCTTTGAAGAGTTGTATCACATCTCAGAGGATGGTGGTAAAAGATATATTTTGCTCTTCCTTGAGTTGTCCTGTTCGTTGTACTTTGGAGCTATATCTATGAAATATGGATAAGGCTAAGCCTTACAGCTAATGACTGCTTTGACCGCAAGAAGTGTGTACATCTGTTGGTATTTTTTGAGCTTCCATCCTGTATGAAGCAAGAGATGGGGGTCTCTTCCACACTTCTGGGGATCACCAGCACTTCTCAAATTATTATTTTTTTTTTTCCTATTGATTTGAGCTGTATTCACGTCACTCATTCAGAGTTGAAAAGTTTCAGATCCCTCTTCCTCATTATAATTATTAACGTGTACTTTAAGCTATGATTAGTTAAAAGCTCAGTCTTTTTATGATTGTCTCTTGTGCTTGAAATATATAGAATATTTTGGGAAAGGAAATAGAAACATAGGAGAAGCTAAATGGTCTTTTTCTTATTCTGTGTTTTATTCTGTAGGAGTTCTACAAGAGAGGAGACAACTGTCTCCTAACTTTTCTTTCTATATATGTTCATTTGTACTCCTGTTGAAAATTGTTAAGTCTAGTAAATTAGCGTAAAGTTTGGGATAAATAGTAATAGCCTAATGTGGGAGTTGATTTTATATCATAGGAGGTAGATTGTATTTTCTGGTATTTTTCCTGGTTTTTTTTTTTTTTTGTATCTTAAAGTTACAAAAAGTTTAGTCCTTATATTTGGAGACTGGAGTTGTTATGGGCACATGTGTACCCCTTTGTTTAAAGGTGAATTGATCAGTTTTAAATCAGATGCTATTATCTGCTTGTTTTGAATATGAATAAAGTAGAGTTTGCTGTTGAAGCTACAAGGGAGGAAATAGTTTTATGCAGAAGCAATTCGTCAAGCTTAAGTAGACATTACTGGTGCTGTTGTGAAATGAAAAGCTGCCTTTGTAATGTCTTGTCCAACTTCAGAAACTTTTTTGCACGTGAAATAAGTGTTTGAAATTCAGGCTAACTCAGTCATGTCATCATAGGAAGTAATTCTCCTAACGATAAGAACAATATAGCAATATAATTGATGTTGTTAATAACCTGAAATGGACAGAAATATCTTCTTAACCATTCATCTTAACATTTCTCATTCTATTTAGTATGTAACACAATACAACAAAGACCTCAGCCAACGAGCCAAACCGAAGTCGGATTCAATTGTATCTCCTTTTCGTGAGCTTCAGCAACTTGATCAAGAAAAAAAGGTTATACACAAGATTAGACCAGTTCCACCTGTTCATCAACCTTTATCTGAGACATCAAGCAGAAATGAGTTGAGAGAAGTGAAGTCAGCTGCAGAAACTGCAGACTCAGTCACACCAGTAAGAGCAGAATCCAAAGACGACAGACAATGGAAAGAAATAAAGCTACGGCTGGATGACTTGCCAGGAATCTTGGCACGCTTGTCCAAAATTAAGCTTACAGGTACTACTGGTCATTTTTTCACTTCTGTGCATCCTGTTTGGTAGCAGAGTTCTTTAGCATGTTACTGGTACTGTGTAGGTTTTCCTGTGATAATTCCCACTTTACTGACAGAAAGCGCCTGGGTCAATTCCATCATATGTGTGCAGGGAAAAATTGTTTTATGGAAGCATTTAATAGTTTTCCCATTAAATTTGTTTAAAAACAGTGAGGAGGAGCTTGCATCGTATTGTCAGCTAGCTTTTGGGAATGATAAGCAAGAGTTAGTACAAAAAATACAGTGCAACTGAGTTAGGAAGTGAATTTATGAGCATTGTATTAAGTATTTAAAGTCGTCTTGCTTAAGTTTACCAATGTTCTGTCTTATTTACTTAGCTTTCACTTTAGTACCGCTTATTGTGAAATTAAAAGTGCCAACAAAAGATAATCCGAATAATTTCCTATCTTATAAAGGAAAACGTTGGAGTGTGACCAATTAAATTTTTTAAAATAAGGTTTAATTTACTTTTCTAGTCAATGATAGCGTGGCATCTTCAAACCAGCAGTTTGATAAGCAATTGCCTTGTAGCCTAGCTACATTTTCCCTTGTTCTAGTAGTAATACTTAACAACTATAAATTACTTCTTTGCCAATAGGTAGTGCTATATATACTTTTATGTCTAAGGAAGCTCTAATGATCTGACCAAAGCCTTACATCTTGTCTGTATCAGGGCCAAGAACAGAAATATAGTTTCCTAAGTCCCTACTGTGGTGCTCTCTCCGCTGGGTGAAATAAATTCTTGATAATAAAACTGTTGTTCTTTGCCATAACAATTTGTTATAATAAAAGTCCTGAATTCAGTTTACTTTTTACTTTTTGAAACTTTTTGTCTCGCAATATATACGTTTTCATTGTTTGTTTCTCCATGGAAAAATTGTACTGACCACATACAGTGTACAGTGGTCATTTAAATTTTTCTATAATAAAAAGCTTTCTAGTTCTCAGTGTTGATGAGGCATTTCGTGTTTTGGACTTGGCAAAACTGATCTTGTCTGTATGTCCAAATGTTCTTCCTCATTATTTTTAAAAAAACCTCAAGGCATTAATTTTGTGCTGGTAAAGAGCTGGGTTAGTAGACTTGAGGGATGAAAAGCATGTCTTTTGGTACTTTACCGTGTCACTTTTACATATTAGCCTTAGTAATTTCAAATTTAGATATATAAAACTCTTACTGACAGATTCAGCAGTTATCAGGATTATTGTACTTCAAATTTGTGACAGCCTTGTGGCACATACAGCCTCAACTGTTCTTTCTTTCTGCGTAAGGTCTTGCCTTTTTCTCCCCCAAGCTGTTCAGTTCTAGTAATACTTTGTTTCTGTTAGGCTGACCGTGGATAACTTATAAGTGCTCTATGAACAAGTAGCTCTCTGGGCATATTTTCAGTGAGGTGTTTTTATTTAAGTGGCTCTTTTGTGTGAACTTGAAAGCTGTGCTAGTTATTGAAGCAGAATTAAATTTAAAAAATCTCAGTAGATCCAGAAATTAAAAGTTAAAATGCAATGATTAAGTGACCGCCTTAAAAGAGGGAGAGAACGAACTGTTGTTGCTGATATTCCTCAGGGGTAAGCTCAGTGTTAGTACTGCATCAGAGTGTTACTGGTGCTCCTCAAAATAGGAGTTTCAAGAACTGCAGCAAGATGGAAGAGTGTCTTTCTGGAGAAAATAATTTTACGTGATACTTTTGTTGTGTGGCCTCACTGTTGCTGCCAAACTTTTCAACAGCTTCTAGTAGACTCTTTTTTTTTTTTAATGCAAAAGGCAATATTGACAGGCAAGAAAGTACTACTCTGACTTTAAAATAGGGTGTTCCTTGAAGCCTGTAAAAGGCAAAGGTTCCAGAATTTCATTTGCTCCATGATTGTCTGTTGTTTTGTGTGAGTCTGCATTTTGAGATGTGCTGTTCTTGATCCAAGGCAAGCGTAGTAAACTTTGTACCTGTTGAGAAGGTGTAGAGATATAGAAAAAACCTTAATCTCTCTTCTTGTTGTAATCTTTACGTATTTGGTGGGGAAGATGATCTGGGGTGCGGAGATTTTATTGGAAGCAGAAAGTGTAAAAGAATAAGTTGGATGAAGAGGGGTTTGTAGGAGGGGAGTTCTGTTGTTGGTCTTTATTGGTGATAGGATAGCGTAGGAGACAGGAGCAGGAAGAATATTGGGTGTACTGTGCAGAGCAAGGAAGTAGAATTAGCTTTTTTCCAACTTGTGTAATCATTTAGACAAATTATATATTCTGTAAAGAATATGGTGGTGCAGTTCTTTGATTTAATTTTTTTAAAAGAAAAATAAATTCTCTGAGGTCAGTTTTTAAGTTACAAATGACACACAACTCAATTCCTTTCACCCATGAAGTTCTGATAGATCTCATACCCTGTGTGGTTTTTTTGGCAGACTTTTTATTTATACTTTTTAGAGTATGAAATAGCAAAAAAACAAACTCTGCATTATGTTAAAATGGGACTTCCTTATGCCCTCTTCTTTTCCCGCTGCTGAAGTAAAGAGAATGTTTGTTTGTATTCTGAACTGTAATTCACCTTGGAAAGGAAATGAGTTTAGCTATTACCATACCCTCCTGCTTCATGTAAACTGCAGCTCTCATGACGCTGCCATTAGAAGCTCTGCCTTACCAACAGGAAAAGACTTTTGTTTATATTCTTTTCCATAGAAAACAATTAGGGAACTTCTAATTACTTGTTGCGTCATCTACCTTTATGGGTTCAATTTCCATCCTTTCCCGTCTCTGTGGCGTTCTGTGTTGGCTGCTGTCTGAACAGCTGTGCCTTACCACCGAGGCACTTGGAAAGCCAGTGCATCTGTCTGATAAGTTTTCAGAATTAAAAGTGTCATTGTTTTCTACTTTATCCTAAAGTTCATGTGTAGCTGAAAATAGGAGAGAGAGCTGTGAGGGTCTGGTAATAGGAGGAAATTCTAATGATTTATAATGCAAAGACGTTAAGAATTTCAGATTGTATCATCTTAAATTTAACTTCAAGTTTACATTTAAGTAATGTTTTCCCTAGTGATCACAGATGAAAACTAAGATAAGCTATGTGCAAAAACACAGGAAAATTAAGCTTCAGTTTTTAATTTGGGGGAAGTGTGATGAAGGCACGATATGAAAAATGCTGAATATTCTCATTAGCTATTTCTCTGGTTTCTGAACACTTTCTCATTGTTGCTCCTGTAGTGAAGGAGGTCTTGCGCATCGGTGTTTTGGTGAGGACAACCAGCTAGATGTGTGGCGCCTGTCTGAGAAATGGATGTATCATAGGTCAGGTGTAAACTTCACTGCTGATTTCTAAACAGCTGTAGAATTTTTAATCTAACTTGCAAGCTCTTTGAGGAAGGGGCTGTGTCTTTAGCATATCTCTGTCTGCTGTGCCGGGAAGAATTGAATCCTGACTCCAGGCTACCGTAACATGGATCTCCTTTAGAAAGTCATACTAAAGCCCATATGTTTCAAACATTCATTTACTTTTCCTCTATCCTGTGTTTTAATATACTACAGTTAACATTTTCACTTGTGTTCACAAGCATATTAATTTGTCTAAAGATTCTTTTTTATTCACAATTGTGTATTAACTGGTTGTTGTTTACCCAGAGATCATATGCAAAGTCACAGTCTCTCCCCCAAAGTCTTTACATTCTTTTACAGCAGCTCATTGCAAGGCACTTTTACCTTCCAACTCTTAAAAAGTGTTTTACAGTTTTGGTAGTATTTTCTTCAAAGTACATTTTAACAGTCAATCCATTAAAGCATGGTGAACGTTGCTTTTCTGTTCTGATGACTGAAGACTTTGTTTCAGACCTCACCAGGGCAGCTTCTGCACTTGGTATCTTGCTTTGGTTCAGTGTGTGCAGTATCCATGCAGAATCACGGGGACCTCAAAGGGACACTTCTAATCTTCTCTATTTTCCCTCAAATCAGGATCACCTTTAGGTGTAGCATTCCTGACCTGATGTCGCTTTGTCCATTCCTAAAACCAGCCGGGGAATATGCAGCTTCCCTGGGCAGTCTGCAGCAGCGTGTTACTGCCCTTACTGCTGAAAAGCATCTCTGTCTCTCTAGCAGAAACCCTCCTTTGCTTCGCTTTAAGTATGTTACTATTTCTCCAAACACAAAGAAATCTGGAAACTTTCTCCAAGTCAGCTTATGTTTTGCTGTGTTTCTCTCACTGAGGATGTGAGATGTTGTTTGGTTATAGCTAGCGCTCAGAGAGTTCAACCCAGTATCCTATTAACATTGTGGAAGTAGAGTTGACAGTAAATTACCTCTGGTTTTGTCATGGTCTGTACCTTAGAGCTAAAATAGGCCAGCCTGAGGTGTTTACACCTCTGTAAATCTGGAGGAATTAGTTATCTTTAATAGAGTCATTCCGGGGCTTACTGTGGTCAGATCAGAATCAAACCTATTGTGCGTTTTCCTTATCAAAGTGTAATGTGCATGTTATGGACAGAATCGCAAGACTGATATAATCAATTCTTTGAGGAGGCCCATACATTTGTTTGATGTTTGTTTTTAAGGTAAAGATTTACATATCATTTTCATGCCATCTGATCATTTGTAGCTCCTTCCACAGGCGGGAGGATGGGGACATTCTCCGATCAGGTGCCAAAATTCTTTTAAAGACAGATTTGGAAGCATCTATGCTTTAGTTTTCAAATCTCTTTTAAAATACGTGAATTTTGGCACAGACAAAACATGTTTCATAAATTGAAATGGGAGGTTCTGGCTTGACATAAGGGAAAATAGTTTCGCCATGAGGACGGTCAAACTTTGGTGCAGGTTGCCCAGAGATGGTGTGAAATTGCTGTCCTTGGAGATGACAAAGCCCTAAGGGACCTGGCCGGAATTCAGTGTTGACCCTGCTTTGAGCAGGAGGTTGGACTTGATGATCTCCTGAGATCCCTTCCAATCTGAATTCCTCTGTGTTGTGCTAGACAATGTTAGACAAAAACCGAGGAGTAAAGACTACCAGCTACAAAATTGTGCATGGTTTCTACATCATGGACTTACTGACCCAGATTTAAGATTTTTCGAAGTGGACAAAGGTGATAGTTTATGAGCATTTTCAGTTTTGGAGACTAAAATAGAGCATTTTCTGATATGTCCCCTTTTAAGAAAATAGTCCTATCTTGTTTACTAGAAGACAGCTGGGATTTATTGGATGTATTGCTCACATATGAATTTGCATCTGCGTTAGTGATCCTCTAGCATGAAAGTGTTGAACTGGAACTCAGAAGCCTGAGATATTTGCTACCGACTTACGATGTGATCGTGAACATCCTGCTTCATCTTTGCGTCTGTTGCGTATTTGTAAAACGAAGACGATGGATATCCAGCTTTGCATAATGACGTTTGACTGTTACCAAACCGCTATGTAATGGAGCAGCAATGACTACATCAGATGCCTATGTTCTGTTCGTAGGCTAAAAATCTGGTAACAGCCGCTCTAGTAAAAAAACCCATTTGCTTTAGTGGAGTTCTAGTACATTTTCACTTTATTCTGGAATAATGGCATTTATTATGGCATTTATTCTTTAAGTGGTAGCTTTAATATAGCCAGAAACTTTGACAAAGATTTATCGGTGCATATTGTTTAGATTATTACTAGTCTACATTTATTCTCAGTTTTAAATATATTTCATACGCCTGTCATTTTGTGGTTAGTAAAACAGTGACTGTTATCCTATAAAAAAAAAAAAGCTTAATAGCGGTAGCTTTCTGGCAGTTTGTTTTCCATGCTACAAGGAAAACTAATGAAATAAAAATAAACTATTATTACAGTTTATTTTTTGCAAAGCATTTTAAAATTGTTTGATGGTAGAAAGATTATCTGCTCTGTTCGTAGTATTGCACTTGAATTCCTATGATATGATGCAAAGACTTGTTTCAAATTATTGTCCCGAATTTAAGTGTGCTTCAGGAGTCTGGCCTTCTTTAGCGTGCAGGTTATAATCTGCAACAAAACTTAGATATGCCTGTACCCAAAGAAATCTAAGTTTACAAAGGAAACATTGGTCAGATGTATAGCACTAACACTGATGCTACATTTAGCTTTCCAGAAACCAAAGTGTGAAAATTCTGGAAGGAAAATTCCATCAGCTTTTGGAATGCTGGTTTCCTTTAAGGAGTATATAAACATTTGTAGTAAAACAGTGAAATTGCTTCTTAAATTAAAGTAGAAATGCATTTGCTTTTTTTCCTTCCTTATGTACGGCTATATCATCAGTACAGGAGCAGAAAGGAGATTTGAAACTGAATTGGTTTGCTTTGGCTTTCTACGCTTTTATTTTGGCTTGGCTACTTTTTAATAGGAGCTAAACAAAATATGGCATAGTGATTCGCATGCTATAAATACAAATTCAGGGGTTTATAAAGGCAGATCACGTTATAATGAAGCTGAAGAGGAATGTAAAGAATACTGTACACTGTAGACTTTTGGAATGTCTTTTTATGCTAGACACATCATAACTCACCCTTTTTGTCACCATTCCATTAGCATTTTCTTTTTCATTTACATTGAAATTGGAGACAAATGTCCCCTGTGAATTTTTGTTAAAGCTAAAGATGTTTAGAAGACCAAAAATTAGGTTTAGGCTGAGATCGTAAGTTCAAATCCTTGCTGCTTTTTGAAGAGCATATATAATGCCAGCTCTCATCAACAAATCTTGAAAGGATCAATTCCATCTATTATGCAATAAGGTGAAGTTAATTTGGCCCCTAAAGCACTAAACTAACAGGGATTAAAAAACAAACAGAGTCAATTATCTCATTCCCTTGATGTGATCTCAATTAAATATACTTTTCCTCCATGAGGAAAGTAGAAGAGTAAATTATTGCTTCCACAGGAAAAGAAAATAAACTTCCCAATCCAAAGGGAACATTTTCTTATTTACTCTTAATGTGTTGCATTTGAATTGCTGGGCAATGAGACAAGCAGGGAATGCCTTGAGTTCAGAGCACTGCCCAAACAACTAAAAATACCTGTTTCAATGGGATAAGTGAGAGGATGTACGACAGCCTTTTTTAATGAGATCCTGATAAGTCACGCTGAAATGACTGGCTGAAATTAATCTGGAGAAATCAATGGGGACTTTAATTAGTGCTGTGGCTGTACAGTATTAGAATTTCTTTGAGGTCAGTGTAATGGTAATGTTACACTGACTGTTTGCCAATCTTCTCCACCTTTCTTCTTCAGTAAATGAGTTGGTGTTTTCCCATAATAAATTGGTGTAAAGTGCTCTCTAAGATAAGTTTTAATTAAATTCTTGTCTAGAAGTGAACGTGTGATTTATTATGCAAAAAAGAGAATGCAATCACTCTCAGAAATGCA